CACAGAGGTATAGCAGATGCTAAATAATTTAAAATTATTTATTTTAAATAAAAATTTCATGCCGATCGTGCAGCTCATCCATCAATCAACATTGTTTTATTTTTATAATTTTGTAAAAAAAACTAGTGTATTTCTCTGCTAAAATACTCTAAACTAGACATGATAGTGAGTATTTAAATTCATTACAAGCATACAAGTCAGCGTCTCGTATTGTAAACCGGTTTATGGACAAAAACATCACAGCTGAACTAGACCTGTCACGATAACAAATTTTGCTGGGCGATTAATTCTCAGAAATTATTGCGATAAACGATAATGTTGTTTGAAATTTGACAATAATTAGTAATTATTGTCAAAGTTAAGAAGAAATGTTGGTTAATTTTTGTGTGTGGTACCTTTTTTGACCACTGGATGGCAGTAGAAGACGCTTGAACCGAAGGATGGATAGTGAGGGAGCGAGCAGCGGGTCTCTTTAAGAAAAATGGGAGGGAGGCCCCTCGACGTGACGTGGGCTGTCTCTCCTTCCTTGTTTTCGGTTCTCAAAATGGCGGACGCTTGCTGTGATTTGAGCTCTTTAGCAAAGCATTTTTAACACAAAGCTTTGCTGAAAAAAAACAACTTTTTACACGAAGGCACGGGTTTCAACTGTGAATTTTTGAGCTCGACAAGACGGAGGTTTATTCCCCGAGGACGTCCTGTTAGCTTAGCTCGTAGCTTAGCTGCTTTTAACAATCCAAAAACGCGATTTTGGATGGTTAAAACCGATTTTAAAAGGAAAGAGAAAGGGAGGGGTCAGTGAAGAACACCGGAGTTGAGCCTTTTGTCATCCAGTGTCTTCAGCAGAAAGAGAGAGACAAAGAAACGATAAAGCCGATAAATGAAAATGAGGTCGATAATTTTCATTTATCGTGCGATTAATTGATTTATTGTTTATCGCGACAGGTCTACGTGTTTGTTTAATATCCCCACGGATGATTCAAGACAAACCTGTCTCCGTGTAACAATCGTGCCTGTCTTGATAGTTGCCACAAACGAAGTACAGTGACGAAAATAAGTATTTGAACACCCTGTGACTTTGCAAGTTCTCCCACTTAGAAATCATGGAGGGGTCTGAAATTTTCATCTTAGGTGCATGTCCACTGTGAGAGACATAATCTAAAAATTAAAAATAAATCCAGATATCATAATGTATCATTTTTTTAAATAATTTGTGTGTTTCTGCTGCAAAAAGTATTTGAACATCTGCCAATCAGCAACAGTTCTGGCCCTCACAGACCTGTTAGTCCACCTCCACTCCACTGATTATTCTAAATTAGAAGCACCTGTTTGAGGTCGGTAGCTGCATAAAGACGCCTGTCCACCCCACACAATCAGTAAGACTCCAACTACTAACATGGCTAAGACCAAAGAGCTGTCCAAAGACACCAGAGAAAAATTGTAAACGTCCACAGGGCTGGAAAGGTCTACGGGGCAATTGCCAAGCAGCTTGGTGAAAAACGATCAACTGTTGGAGCAATTATTAGAA